TAGTATGCCAGGAGATCTGACAACCCCCAATAGTATGCCAGGAGATTTGACACCCCTGGAAGTATGCCAGGAGATCTGACATTCCGACATTCATGGCAGTATGTCAGATGCTGAAGGTCTTTCAGCAAGTTTAGACCTGCAGTGGGCAGCAGGACCGGTGAGTATTCATTGCTTCCTTTGCAGGGATGTCTTTATTTCTATTTTTTCTTAATAGCAACAAAGTATATTCATTGTGAATCTCCACCTCCTTCCTCCAAACATAAAAAAATCCCATTCAGTCCTATATTTTATTCAGAGATAAATCATTTTAAAATGATCACAGTCTAATTTTTTTTTTAGGTGCACAACCTGTGCATAGGTCAGTCTCAGTCCGATCCTCTGCATCCATGACTGTGAGCGTAGGGGTCAATGTCTGGCTTGTGGAAAACCTCTGATGATGTGTTTCTTGTCTTCAGGTGAAAGGAGAGTTTATAAAGAAGACCGGACAGAACACCAGCGAATTTAAAGCAGTCCTCCTCTGTACTCAAGTTGTTGCCGGCACGAATTACATTGTGAAGGTAATGTTGTTGGTTTAAATGCAACATTATTGTCACAGACTGGGGCACATCGGCGTTTCTACATGTGCGCTAAGTCTCTGTACAGAGGAGCTTACACTCTACTGTGCTTGTGTCGTCCTTGGCCCACAAAAGTTCGCAGTCCAATGGAGCCGCTATAGTATCTCAGGCCTGGTATTCCTGAGATCCCACATAACAATATAACAAGAATATCAAGGAAAATATAAGAAAAGATAAAAGGTGTGATTGTTTCTTATGAATCTTTTTCTGTCTTTTTAGGTTAAGATTGGAGGTGACAAATATGTCCACCTCAAAGTGTTCGAACCCCTGCCTCATACAAACGAGGGACCGTCTTTGGTGTCTTACCAGCTGAATAAAAAAAAGGATGATAAATTGGAGATCTTCTAAGATGGAGACGAGAATGACAACAAGTCACTTATATCCTGAGTGATCCTCCTGTGCCCACCTATGTTCTGTAATCATCATCCCCAAGCCCTTCCCCTTACCACGGTGTCCCGGGAACTCTGAGAGAGCTATAAAAGGCAAATATATATCTGATGCACCTTTCTTTTTTTCATTGGTGATTTCCAAATAAAATTCCTTGTTATCTGTATGTAGGGCGGGATTTACCATTAGACACAAAAGGTTTGAGCCTACATCCCAAGCCCCGCCTCTAATTATTCAGGAACTGTCCACTTATGGCCCTTAATCATCAAAATGATAGCCCTAATGAGCTACATTGCACACACAGAAACTCTGTAATCCTGGGATGGAAACTCAAAAGAGGGTGACGCTGTATTAAAGGGACGGAAACTCAAAAAAGGGTGACGCTGTATTCCTGGGACGGAAACTCAAAAAAGGGTGACGCTGTATTCCTGGGACGGAAACTCAAATAAGGGTGACGCTGTATTCCTGGGACAGAAACTCAAATAAGGGTGATGCTGTATTCCAGGGACAGAAACTCAAATAAGGGTGACGCTGTATTCCTGGGACAGAAACTCAAATAAGGGTGACGCTGCTTTCCAGGGACAGAAACTCAAATAAGGGTGCCCCTGTATTCCTGGAACAGAAACCCAAATAAGAGTAACACTGTATTCCTGGGACAGAAACTCAAATAAGGGTGACGCAGTATTCCAGGGACAGAAACTCAAATAAGAGTAACACTGTATTCCTGGGACAGAAACTCAAATAAGGGTGGCGCTGTATTCCTTGGACAAAAAATCAAACAAGAGTGACGCTGTATTCCAGGGACAAAAAAATCAAACAAGGGTGACGCTGTATTCCAGGGACAGAAACTCAAATAAGGGTGACGCAGTATTCCTGGGACAGAAACTCAAATAAGGGTGACACTGTATTCGTGGGACATGACCCAGGACACATCATTATAGGGACTAAGCTGCAAGATGCGAGATTGTCCCAAACAAATCAAGGACACTTTCTGCTATAGATAAAGAAGGGATTGTCCCTGTATGAGACACAAGGGATGTGTAGATATTACATCCTTTACCTTATAGTGTATCGGGTCTATGAAAGGGAATGAACACGGTGAGATGAACACAAGGTGGCACCTCTCCTGCCGCCCCATGCCACCAAAGCCCAATCTAATGCACACAAATTGCCTCATGAAGGTGAGTCCCCTTAGGAAACAAAGTCTCCTGTTGCACTTAGTGGTTCCTCCCACCAAACCCCTTGTATAGGACAGAGGAGTGATGTAGGGCTAAGCGGGAGGAACCATTGAGCACAGCGGGGGACCAGGAGACTGACACCCCCAGATATGAGAGATGACGGGGATAATATGCAGGTTACATATAGAGACAGGCTGGGGATCTAATCTACAGGAGAGGAGGGGGAGGGGGGGATTGGTAATTGCAGTGATCACAGTGTATAGTGACGCTCAGTACGCTGCGTTTATAAACGCAGCCATCTTGTGCACCTTCAATATCCAGAGATGGAAATCCAGCCCCGTCCGCTGTTCTTATTATCCCATCTTCTGTTTCTTTTTATAGCCTTATTTACTAAACCGACTTGTAGAAAATGATGTCTTCATTGATATGATAGCAGTGTTCTCTGATCCCCGAGGTGTGTGTTGGGAATTGTCACAGAATGTGATTGTTTTATGATGATAATTCTCGATGTAGCTCATGAAGGTGAATGTTTAATCTGAATGTATTACCCTGGTCCCTCCCCCAACCCCACCCCCCATCAACATGCTAATAAAATTTTAATGCAACCCTATTTTTTCATTACATTATTCAGACTCTTCACCTATGTCATCACTGGGTCTCTGTGCTTCCCTAGACTCACCTACGTCATCACTGGGTCTCTGTGCTTCCCTAGACTCACTTATGTCATCACTGGGTCTCTGGGCTTCTCTAGACTCACCTATGTCATCACTGGGTCTCTGTGCTTCTCTAGACTCACCTATGTCATCACTGGGTCTCTGTGCTTCCCTAGACTCACCTATGTCATCACTGGGTCTCTGTGCTTCTCTAGACTCACCTATGTCATCACTGGGTCTCTGTGCTTCTCTAGACTCACCTATGTCATCACTGGGTCTCTGTGCTTCCCTAGCCCCTCTTATGTCATCACTGGATATCCGTGCTTCTCTATACAATACAGGAAGTTCATGGTTGGTGGGAGGGGCCGGCAGGGTGCTGTACATAGCTTCCTGAAAACTTCCTAGCACTCTGCCTCAGTACTTCTCTTTATAGCCCTCAAGGCTGATGGATCGTCTCTCGGAAGGATTTATGTAAATGTCTCGATGGGCGGGTGTCAGCCTGGAGGAGTGGGGGCGTTCCCAGACAGGCTTTATTTGCATACAGGTAACGCCCACATGTGATGCTGAGCCTCCATGATTGAAAGAACCGAAATCCATTTGATGAAAGGGGCGGGGTCAGGGACAGTCAGGCTGGGGAGGAAAGCGCTGGATGATACCGGATGTCCTCCAGCCAGGAAATGAGGCCGGCTACATCTGACTTGCTGCAGTGTCTAACGCACATGGTGAGAAGCTCGCAGTGTGCAGTGACATCAGAGGAAGAGATTTCAGTCCAGGAGACAAAAATATAAATCTTTTTCTGGGGAATTTATTGATAATATAACAAAAAAGAAAGAAGAAACGTTCCCCCGTGCAGCCAATCAAAGTCAGCGCTGTGTTATAGACATTGGGAAGGATTGCACGTTAGTTCCTCAGTAGGGTTCATACGGTCGGCTCAGAAGGAATCACATCCCATTGTAACCCGGTATATAAAAATAATCATGGAACATGTGAGATGTGAAAAAAAATACAAAATGTATCAACAATAATGATATAAAACACTTAAAGGTGAACTATGGGGTCAGGGCTTTCCCCATAGCTCCCCTCAGGATCACAGGAGGACAAAAAACTAGCGTCCTCCCGTTACCCAAAGCTCAGTATATAGGGAGCTACAGCTCATTATATACTGAGACGCCGCAGCCGGGACGGATCCCGATCTACTGTTTAGATCCACCCAGCTGCGTGAGTGACAGCTGTCTCTGCCTATAAGAGGCAGAGCCAGCTGTACCCGCCCCCTCCCCCGTCGATTCTGCCAGTCAGCGCTGGAGGATAGGGCAGGGGAGGGCGGGGGGAATCCCTGCACTGAGCCGTGTGTGACAGTCAGGGCTCTCTGCAGGGAGATGATCGAGAGGTGAGCGAACGCGGTATGTGTTCCCTCACTTCCCGATCTACTGAGCCGACATGTGACAGTCTCATTGTCACACGTGGGCTCGAACTATGAGGTGAGTGAAAATCACTCCCCTCATAGTTCTCCTTTAAAGAACATCTCCTGCATCATCTTATATTGTTTGTTTTACATTTAGAAGCCTCTATCGGTATTTGATCCCCACCTATCACCAATCCGACATCGTCATTGCCAAAAGAGATCCAACATGTTTCTCTAATGTTACGAATGTGATCGGAATCGGGGATCAGTGGAGATAACTTTCAACGCGTTTCATGGATATACACTCCTCTTCATCAGGGAATGGATGAGGCTCTGCTAGGAACATATAAGTACATATAGAGCCTCAATTTCCTGATGAGGCGGAGTGTAAAAAAGGTTTGTCTTCATCTCCCTCATCCAGGTCGTTGGTCACCCAAGTAGTCAGTCCATGGGACGAGGCACCATAGATTGTCCTGGTCCTGCAGACATCTCCAGGAACACAGGACACCTTCTCATACACGGTCAAAGCTTTATTTTAAGACATGGGGATGTTTCTTTGTGTATGAATGTATGAAGTTAGTAATTAACAAACATAGAAGGAAAAGGTGCATCCTAGAAGAGCTGTGACAGTGTTGCATTAAATGCCGTAGAAACGATAAAATGAACAGAATTCATTCCAAAAGAAAACCGGAATTTCAAGTCTCTGAAATGTTAGTGAAACGCCCAATTGTTCTCACTGGTACCTTTTTTGTGTGTCATGTGACAGTTTCTCTAAAAGAATACAGACTAATGATTTTAGGACAGTGGTGGAGCGCCAGTGCCGGTCCCAGCTGCAACCGCTGCAACCCTGGTAGTTCTGCCACTGACTCCAAGGATTAGAGGGACTGCAAATCCCAGCAATACATTATAGACCAATGCAGAATAATACCATGAGCTATAGAGGACTACAAATGTCAGCAATACATTGTACAGCAATGCAGAATAATACCACCAGCTATAGAGGACTACAAATGTCAGCAATACATTATAAAGCAATGCAGAATAATACCATCAGCTATAGAGGACTACAAATGTCAGCAATACATTGTACAGCAATGCAGAATAATACCATCAGCTATAGAGGACTACAAATGTCAGCAATACATTATACAGCAATGCAGAATAATACCATCAGCTATAGAGGACTACAAATGTCAGCAACACATTATAGACTAATGCAGAATAATACCATCAGCTATAGAGGACTACGAATCCCAGCAATACATTGTACAGCAATGCAGAATAATACCATCAGCTATAGAGGACTACAAATGTCAGCAATACATTGTACAGCAATGCAGAATAATACCATCAGCTATAGAGGACTACAAATGTCAGCAATACATTGTACAGCAATGCAGAATAATACCATCAGGTATAGAGGACTACAAATGTCAGCAACACATTATAGACTAATGCAGAATAATACCATCAGCTATAGAGGACTACAAATGTCAGCAATACATTGTACAGCAATGCAGAATAATACCATCAGCTATAGAGGACTACAAATGTCAGCAATACATTATAGACTAGCTATAGAGGACTACAAATCCCAGCAATACACTATACAGCAATGCAGAATTCCAGGAACATACCCCCAGCATTTATACCCCTGCCATACTAGAAACACACCCCAACATTTATACCCCCTATTGCCCTGAGCCAAATTGTATAGCATAGATAGGTCATGTTA